TAAAGTGCAACCAATCCAGGTCACTTGGTGTCCCGCTGGGTACAGCAGGAGGGAGCAGGCAGTTTATGGAGGATTCAATGCCTCACTTTGCTCAAAGCAGAAGCCACCGCGGCTTATATCATCAGGTTCCAGGGCCCCCAAGAGGTCAAAGCTAAACTCTTGGGATTCACTCCAACTTGACAAGGCCACCAAGAAGACACGAGGCACACTACTCAGAGCACAGCCAGGGCTCCGCTCTACACCAGGCTCAGTGGCCAGTCATGGGACCTGGGACCCCACCACTGTCAGTCAGTTCAAGGAAACTGCGCAGGAGGAGGGTGTGCGACCTGCAACACAGCAGGACGCAGCCATTCTCCAGCTGTCACTGGGATGAGGGACACAGGGAAGGGATAAAAGACCTCAGGATCTTAGCCCTCAGGGGAAAAAAATCAAATAAAGACCGGAGACATCTCTCTGCAGCTGCACACAACCCACAGCACCCACTTCTCTGCTGAGAACCGAACCAGCGGTGTGGAAAGCCAGCCCGCTGCAGTTCCCAGCTCACTAGGAAGCTGGCACCCTCAAACCAACGTCCCATGTCTTCCTTTAAAGACTAAAATTGGCTTAAAGGGGAATGGAAAAGTCAGATGGGCTCTGATGAAAGGGGGTAGGCAGCCTGGAACAGTCACTGGGCTAAGTAACAGTCCACGAGGGGTGGGGGCACCACCTACACTTCACTGAGAGTGAACATTAAACACACTCTTCCTGTTTAAGCCCTGCCCCAGCTCTCTCCTAACCAAGTAATTACTCCTTAAGTCTGACTGATATTAGGATCCTTCCTATGGGATAGCGCTGGCTGTGGGAATTCTCACCCTCAACTGGGCCCGAGCTGGTGAGGGGCTTTTTTGCATAAGTACATGTTCGGTCTTTTAACTGGTTAAAATAAGCAGGCAGAACACATGCAAACACACACCCCAAACTCAGATCAGAGGGAGTCAGTATAGAAAGTTATACCAATGTCACTTCTGGACTTGCCAGATTTTTGCCCTAGAAGTAATATTAAACACAGCTCTTTGTCTATGAATTGTGAAATACTTTATATACTAATAAAGAATGAGTACTTCATTGTGTATTTAACTGCATAAGCCTGCATTTGGTTTAATTGACCAAGAATAAATCCTTGTTCCTAAGCTAACTCTCGAGTTACAGTCAACTCTTAAATATTAACACTCATATTGAGGAACAAAGATGCAGATAATGCAAAACAGAAGATTATTTTAAGTCATTCACTCTTGGTATGCGGATATATTCTTTTTTTCCTTGCTTTTCTTTTAACTTGCAATTAAATGCGTATGGCTGATATTATGGCATTTACAATACTTCTAACAAAGGACTTAAAGCACACTGGAAAAATCTGACTTGGGGAGGTCTCCATGCAGATCCCACACTCAATTCCTCTGCTATGAACTTTGGAACAACCTGCTCTGGTCGGGGTCAGCATGGCCCCCGGCCCCCCAAAAGACTGCTGGGAAAATGGCTTTTTTTAAAAAAGCATGTAAACTGCTTGTTACCCAGGTTGGTGGTTTTTGGAATCATGGCACTTTGTGAGGGTGGGAAAGTAATTAAGGGTTCAGGGTTGGAAAAGCCCTTTTATTTTAGCTCCTACTGGGCGGGTGTAAACAAAGATTCCCTTTATGTCAACAATGACTTAATTAACCAGAGTAGGTGACAATGTCAGGAAGAATTTGAAAGTAAGAGTTCCCTCCTCTCTGTAATCAAGCTTCACTATACTCTAAACATTCAGAATATTAATCAGCAGAGTAGCACTTGGCTCTGAGAATCACTCCCCTCGGAATCAATAACTGCTATAACTTCACTCAGCTGTCCCAGTAACAACGGGTGACACACAGAAACAACCAATTTTAGTCTGCAATATTAACCAAAATCCTCCAGAGTGTTCTCTCAAGTTAATTAGGTAGACCCAAGCCATGGTTACCACCTGAGAGAGTGCTCAGAAGACAAATGCACACCAGGAGGTGACACAGGTGACATCTGATGTGGCACTGGCCAATGCTGCGGTGACTGGGCCATCAGACAAGGTTCTGCAGGAACTTCTCGGGAACACTCCTCTCTGGTTCAACAGACATAATCTAAACTGAGTCTCCAAGTTAGCAAACCAAAAAGCCTTCCAAGATAAGGCCTTAGAAGGTCAAAGCTGAAGGTACCGTTAACCCAGGCTATAGCTACATTAACCACAGAGGACAGACAGACGTACAGGGACAGATGTAAGGGGACTCACACACACACACACACACACACACCAATCTGGCACTCCAGAACCCAATCTGGAGCTGCTCCGGCTGGCTTCCAAGAGCTTAAAGCTCCTTTCTCACCTACAATTCAATGACCTTCAAAGCAAAACTCAACAGATAAACTGGTCTTAAACTTCCAATCAGGTGGCAATATTGGATCCATAGACACGAGACCCACGGACCTACAAAGGCAGGGTCCACTGTCACCTCTGTCCAAGAACAACTTTCTTCTCAACTATGTGCTCCTTGACACTGCTCCAACTGGCCCACCCAAGGGTCTGGAAAGACCCTTCCTCACTTGCCGGGGACAGTGCTGACGATAACATGCACTGGTGGCTTATGAGATGCCAGGCCTGCTCTGGCGATGCCCACACCTGGAATCCCAGTGAGTCGGGAGGCTGAGGCAGGATGGTCACAAGTTCAAGGCCAGCCTCAGCAACACAGTGAGACTCACATACTTAGTAAGACTCTGTCTCAAACTAAAAATAAAAAAGGACAGGGACGCAGCTCAGTGGTGAAATGCCCCAGGGTTCAATCCTCAGTATGAGAGCAAGATGCCAGGCCCCAAGCTCACTGCTCTTTACAGCCACGTCAAACAGAAATCCAACAATCTTTTGAGGTCACTAGTCAGAAGGCCTCTGAGAAGATTACTGTTCATCAAATATTAATAGAGACCCAGAAGACCATTGTATGCAACCTCAGAAGACAGAGAAGAAAACCCAGCCCAGGGGCCTCTGTGCTTTTTCAAAGCCCCCTCCGTGGGGGCGCTTGGCTTTCCCTCTAAGCCACTGTCTTTCATTTTGGTCTCTCAACTCTGGATGCAAACCTTCATGGGAACTATGAGCTCAGAAAAACGCTCACAAGGACGGTGGTAGAGTGTGACCTACACTTTGGGGAACTTTGAGCGCTGCACCCCGACCCCAGAGTGATCCACAAGTCCTCAGTGGGGAGACCTGCTGAGAACCATGTTCACACTGTTGGATATAAATTCTTACACAAAGAACCACGGAGGCACAGCACCCCTCTCCCCTGCTCTTCCTCCTCTGCCTCAACTGTCTGTCCCCACATACGCCTGTATTTTAAACTTCCTTCAATAATTAAATGTGGTAAAAGAATTCCACCAGGACCATTTTACACTTTATGTTGAAATAAACTCACCATAACACTGCCCTGGAATCTAAAATGGAAAATGACAGTTATTCCTAACCTGGGCCATTCCTGAAGCCCACACGGTAGGAAATCCCAGCTCAGCTTCCCCACCGTGCAGAGCCATGTACTCAGGGGAGAGCCGGCAATTAGGGAAACATCCATTTTAATTATTAGCAAAATTAAAGAATCACAGGCATGACTTTGAGAAACTGGGGACGGTTTCCCTCACATTAAGCCCTTTAAAAATGTGTCACCATTGCAAATTACATCGGCCCTGATGTCACAGCACAAGTCACAAAGAGGCGGTTCCATAGTGGTCTGGATCGAGAGCTTGTAACAGCCTCAGACACAACTCCTCCCAGATCCCTTTCCAGAGACATGGTAGGCACCGCCACGATGTCACCACACCTGGCAATTACAGAGTCGCAGTGCCTCTGTGTAACCACGAATGCCCCAGCCTCCCTCACAGCTTTGGAAGAGCAGTGCCTCGGTCTCCCTAGGGACCCCACCTCTCTGGTTCTCACCTCTGGATGGCAGCACAATACTCCTTGTGGATGTCCCCCTTTGGGACCAAGGAAGCTGGGCTTTCTGCCCCTCCCAGGCCACCCCTCTGGGTCAGCATGCTGCTCACCCACCCCACACGCCCCATGCATCCCCACAGAGGCTCAGCCAAACCCAGACACCACGCAGGACCAGGCGGGCTCCCAAAGGCAAGCAGGCACCAGGTGGGCTCAGAGCAAAACAGGTTCATTAAGTGGCGATGAGTGCCGGGATCTGCCGTTTTACTCTCGGATTACCACTCGAAAATAACTCGGCTACCAATATTCCCTCCTGATGACAGATTCAATGCTGCACCAAGTGGAGGCTTGGCTAGTGAACACTGTCTCCCCCGGACCTGGGAAAAAGGTTGCAGATATGCCCAGCTGAATACAGGAGCCCCGTGTAGTCCCCGCGAGTGGCCTTCCACTTTTACAATCAGGTCCCCAAAGACGACATGCCAGTCAGTGCCTGCCCCGTGAGAGCTGAAGTTCTCAGAGAGGAGGGAGACCCCTGGGTGTATTCACTTCCTGGTCTCTCTAAAACAGAGTCTGCCACTCTAGGGCACATTGCTTAAGGATTATGAACTACAATGGCTTAGAGAAGCAACCTGTCTGGCCTCTCTCTGTAGCACTTCAGAGACTCCAACAAACAATGAAAATCAAGCGTCAGCATTTCAGATGTTGGCAGTTTCCTTTAGTGGTCCCCTTTGGTCAGAAAACAGCAATTCTTTACACTGAAAGCAAGATCCCTCCAGCGAGAAAGCTCCTGCAGGAGGCTAGAGAGGACAGTCATCTTCCCGAGGCACGTCCCTTCCGCGGCTCTCCTGGGCACTGGCTAAAAGGGAGCTGCAGCTGCCTCCCTCGCCCAGCACTCAAACCTCCAAACTATACCTTCTGCTGGCCACCTGGCAGCCAGGAAAGGGCAGCCCATGCTGAAACAGACCTCCCCATTCCCTGCCGCTTCCCCCAGACAAATCCCCACACAAACTTGGTACCCTGAAAGCGAAATTAAATAACTTACCTTCCGGCTCTAACGTGGTATCCTCAACTAAATTGAAGGAGGGCCGGGCCCGGGACAAGGTTGCCATGGTGACCACGACCAGGCAGATGAACCGACCCCAGTTGACCATGGTTACGGTGCCAATCCCCAGTCCTCTTCCATATCTCCATGTGGACGTTAATCCCATCTGCACACTTCCTCCTGGAGCATGGACCGCCTGCAGCGCCTCGGCCCACGGGGGGCTCAGCAGGCAGGGCACTGCGGCGGGGCTCGCTGCTGTGCTGCGACTGCAGCAGCCACTGAAAGAAAGAGATTCGGCCAGTCAGTGCAGTCCTCCCCAGCGCCACGCACTTGGACCCACATAGGATAAGACTGTTTCTCGGCATCGCCAGGGTGTGTGCAAACACAGCTCTTTTTCATTATCAGCCAGGGCCTTCCATCCTCACCTCGGAGCCCCAGGTGTGTCCACCAGATGGGTCCTCAAGACGCTAGGCTGATCTTTTTGAAACAGCACTTTTAAGAAATGGAGATACAACAGTAGCTACAGGGTCCAGAGCAACACGCACAGCCATGGGGTTAGGTAAAATGTGCTCTTCTTTTACCCACCATCGCCTCTACAAAAGGCAGAAGCAATGTGACCTTAGTTTCAAGGGCAACTACAAACGCAAGTTTAAAATGCTCGGGTTGGCAGAACCAGCCTCGTTAACTCCTCAGTCCAGCTGGGCGCTAGGAAGCTGACTGGCGGAGGTGGCTGCTTACAGCCCGGGATTTCAGCTGGGCTGGAGCTGGCGGTGTGTCCGCCGGCACGGTGGCTCTCAGAAAGAAAGGAGGCCAGCAGAATCAAAAGAAACCCGGGAAGACTACAAAAAATTCCCACCAGTTTACACTTGTCAGGATTCATTTTCAAATGCAGACGTGTATTTCAATCTTTCGCCAAGCAGCCACTTACAAAGAACGAACAGAACTGCAATACATTCAAAGCAGCTGATCCAAACAGGGATTCAAAGCCTGAATTCCTTTCCAGGGACTCAATGGCAGTGAAGGCCTACTAAATGTCTTCGACCTATGTCAAGGGGCTTAAGAAACAGCAGAAGCAGACTCTGATGAATAATGCAGGAGGTTAGCAGTGGTGATGACGAAATCTAAGTTATCCTGATATGTGATGGCCCCAGAACTTTCAATATGCTAACCTACTGGCAGTGGTTGGAAGGGGAACTCAACTTACTATTCTGTTCACCCACTTGATCCAAGGCAAAGAGAAGCTTCCAAGCAAGCTCAAAACAGTCCAAATAACTTTAAATTCATTCAGTATCTTCAGTGATTGTGTTGAGGCGGCAAAATGCACAAACTTTGGAGAATTTGTATAAAGCAATCGCAAGAAAAGAAAGGTAGGCCAAGTTTGGGCTTCAGTCTGTGAACCACATGAATGAACCACATTTTATAAGACTGGGGGTGGGCTGAGACCTGCAAGAGACACATCTCTACCTTTCTGCTTTTTACTACAGACTTCGTGTTTCAAATCACCACACAGAATTTCAACACCTCCAGGGCCTTCCTAAAGCTCTAGCCTAAACACTGCTTCTTTCAGCCTCCACTGAGGATGGAGTGTGGGTCCAAGGGTGACATCATGAAAACCTCTGCTTTAAAGAAAGTATAGGTGAAACAGTGTTACCACCAGAGAACCGTGTGTACACCGAGGGGGCATGAGCAGTGCACAAACCCTGTGTGTTCAGATAGCTTGAAGCATTTTTCCCCCAACTTCTCTTTCCTCTTAAAGAGCCTCAAAAGATAACTCTGTACCTATTTCTACATACATGTGGGAGGAAGTACACAAACATTCTCATGGATTCACTAGGCATCTCCACAAGGCAGGGGAATTTTCTGCCCTTGGGGCAACTTGAGGAACAGGCTTGCTTACATCCTGGCAGGAGGTCTTGCCCCCAGCTGCCTCCCCAGCCAACACCTGCCTCTGCCCTGCAGACACTCCTTAGCTCTAGGCCAGCAAAGGTGGACAGTGCCCTTACTGAATCTCAAGCCTTTCCCTTGCCCTCACCAATAGCACTAGAAACTTGAATTTCAGCCCTGTGCAGGCCCAGGACCACGGGCGGACCCCTCCTCAAACCTCTGGAAGGCGGAGACGGAAGGCAGCAGGTCTGCACAGCTCCTCACCAGAGTGGACAAAAGTGTAGTGCGACCTCCTAGGCAGGATAATTAGGTCCCGAGGCTCCGTGTTGGGAACACAGGCCCAGCATGCTGCTGACGGCCACAATCCCGGCTTCCTGCCTTCAATACCATAATCCTTCCTGGAGTCTGAGCCCCAGTGAAAGCCCAGCGTGTTTATTTTTCCCCCTGAAAGGGAACTCTCTGCTCAGCCTGTGTGCGGGAGGAGTTGTCACTCTGATGGATGGCTCTTCAGGGCCACCCGCCCCACGGGTCCATTTTCACCTCGGCACAAGCCTGCCCCCAAAGACAGGCAAAGTGACCAGCAGAAAGAGCCTGGCTGGGGAGGGGTCACCACACCAGACCTGCACTGGGTTCTTCAAGTTAGCAGAACATGCCCAAACCCCAACCCTCCCAGAAGACAGGCTAACACAGCCCGGCCTTAACGGGCTCCACCTGTCCTCTGCTAGCTCACCAAATAAACACTTTTGTTCTGATGTAGCTTTTGCACGGACAAAGTCAACAGTGCCAGAAAAGTTCGGAGATGCTGGCCTTAAGTGCAGACCCATCTCCTCCCTGGAAGCCTTCCTACCGGCCAGCACTTTGTAGGGCAGAGAGCTATCAAGGAGTCAGGTCTAGGGAGGATGGAAAAATTCCTCAACACATTGAACTCTCCAAAGACACCAGCAGGCACAGGAGCACAATAGCTGCCTTAATGCTGGAAATCCTGAGCACTCGGGAGCAGCTTAGGGGTGCTCATCATCACCACCCCGGTTTCATTGTAACATTTCTTTCATTTGACTGCTTGGAATACCCTGGTTTCTCCCCCCAACTCGGGGCGCTAAAGAGCTCGGAGAAAATCTGCATTTTAATTGACATTCCAGCGAGAGGGAGAGGGGCGCCTGATTGCTTTTCTATTCAAACTAAACAGGCTTTTCAGATGAAAATGAGTCGAGGCTGGTGGAAGATTTACAGGGATTTGGGACCAAGGGGACAATGGAGTTTTAAATGTTGATAGCGTTTCACACCAAACACATAATGGGTGCCCTGAGTCTGAAAGCAGGTTGGCCTTTAAGGGTGGGTTTTATTGAGCTGGGGAGAGGAAAGGCGGTCTTGGAGCAGAGTTTCTAGGGAGCGGACTGCGAGCGGAGCGGCCGAGGGCGGTCGCTCCCGGGCCGCCTCCTGCGCCAGTGCCCCTGGCCGCAAGGGTCGGAGCCAGCGCCACGCAGGGCCCTCGGCCGATTCCCCGGCGCTGAAAGAATGAGCGCGCAAGTTAGAACTCGCCTGCGCTTTCGACATCTCGGAGCGGCAGCGGGCAGAACAGGCAGGCGAACTAGGAAAAGTCGGTCCAGCTCGCCCCCTAGCCCCAGGCGCTCAGCGCTCCCTGCTACGCCCACGGCTGCTGCGGGCGCGGGGCGCCCAGCAGCCAGAATCCGGGATCCGAGCCGCCCCTCCCCAAAAGTGCCACCTCAGGCCATCACCACCCCTTTGGAGATGTCGCTGCCCCCCCACACCCACAACGCCCCCTCCCGGGAAAGGTCCCCCTCCCCAGACTGGATGGGGCGCGGAGGGCGCTCCGCGGGCTCAGGAACGCGGCACCCCGAGGTTACCCCTCCCGAGCGCCAGCCGAGGCGCCGTGCCACCGGCAGGCAGCCCCAGCCGTACGCCCTCTCTGAGCTCGGAGGAACGTGCACAGCCGGCAGGACTGGGACCGCCGAAGTTTGACAGGGTGTGGGTGTCTGGGCAGAGGCAGATGTCAGCATCTGAATGGGGGTGCTAGAGGCAGAACTCTCCCCAGATGCCAGCCGTCAGCACGCACCCACCTCCCCTATCACCTATCTGGCCAAAGAGGGAGGACCCGGAGCGCCCCCGCACTGCCACTTCCCCTCGCCCTCCGCGGGGGGACCGCGCGCCCTGCGCTCCGGGCTCCCACGGCGCCCATTCTCCCGGCTGGCGGGGCTCCCGGAGGCGTCCAGCGCGGCGATTACCTTGAATGGCAACGCTCCTCCTCGGTCGGAGCTGTCCCGGAGCCCGGCGTGGGTCGGGATGGAGCCAGCGACCAGATCTGGGAGAAAACTCCAAAAAGAAAGCGGCCCTCGGGTCCCGGGTGGCGCAAGGGCTCCGCGGCTTCACGCGCACCCCAGGCTGCGGAGGAGCGCGGGCATGACGCCGCGGCGGCCCTCGGGTTTGGGGAGCGAGGGGAAGAAAGAACCCGGGCTTGGCGTTTCCTCCCCCAAACTTTGCTCCCGAGTTGCGAAAGCCCGGAGCGCGCAGGGAGCCGCGGCCGGGGGCCCGGGGGCTCGCGGCCGCCCCCGCCAGCCCGAGAGGAGTCGCCGCGCCGCGCCGGGCCAGCTACGCCGCAGGCAGCCCGCGGCGCCCCAGCTCTGTGCGCCGCGCTCGCTCGCCGCGCTCTGCTCCGCACCGCCGCCGCTCGGCTCTCCGCGCTCTCCTGCGCCGCGCCCGCGCCGCCGCCGCCGCCCGCGGGTCACGCCCCCGCTGAAACCCGAGCCGTTTCCTGGACGGCGGCGCCCGCTCTGCCAATCAGCGCCCGCCGGGCCGCCCCGAGCCCCGCGCAGCTCCCGACGCCGCGGAGCCGCCCCGAGACCCCGGCGGGGAGCGAGGGGCCCGGCCGCGGTGGCGGCGGAGGGGTGCCAGAGTGTCCTCCCAATAAGGCCGGGTCCGCGCCCCACGTCACCGCCTCCTGCCTTCCCGGGCGAGGGAGGTGGCCCACGGCTTGCCCTACGTTGTTTTATGTCAAGTTAAGAAACAAATGACAGAATGCTCTACCCCCTTAAAAAACGTCCCCATTGTACCCGGCGAGAAATTTAGAGCAACTGAAGCTTTTGGAGAAGAAGCAACTTGCAACAGTTTGCAGGACGATGTTGCATTTTTCTGTTCGAAACAACATTTACGGAGACTCTTCTATGGGGAGGGCATAGTGATTAGGGGATTTTGCTTAGTTCGCTCATCTACCCTGCTGGACAATATTCCCAGTTTTTGATAGAGACTGATGAGGATCAGAGAAGTTAAGTAATTTACCAGAGTCACACAGCCTGGCTACTCGCTAAGCCTGACTTTGAATGTGGCTTTCTTAGAAAAGAGCAAAATCTGAACCAACAACAACAAAAAAGAAAGAGCGAGAAAGAAAGAAAAAGAAAAAGAAAAAGTGTTGTTTAGTAATGTATATTTTGATTAATTTCGAAAGGGCCCTCAAGAGGGCCTGGGGATGTAGCTCTTGGTAGAATGCTTACCTAGCAAGTGTGAGGCCCTGGGTTTGAACCACACAGGGAAGGGGAATAGAGACTAAAATCTCAACTACCATAAACAGCCAAATGACCTTAAGCCAGTCAATTCCTCTCTCTGAATCTTAGATTCTTTAACTGCAAAATCTGATTCTTCAAGTGAGCACCAGGCTGCAACTGACCCAGTTCATAGTTTCCATTTGTTTTTTGTTTTTTGTTTTTTTTTTTCCACTAGGACCTGTCTTCTGCATAATTTATTTTTGAATAAAAATAACTCTCTCTTCTTATTCTGAGCAGTTGTGCATAAGTTCAAGGCCACATAGATTAAAACCTTAATTGTTTTTCTTTAGAAAAGGTCACTAAACCCAGAAATGCTTTAGAATTCTCCTGAGGCCTGAAGACAGAGCAACAGGGAGAAAAACCTAACCTGCAACATCCACTCTTCCTGCCTTTGAAGGGGCAGTTGCTTCTGGTCACCATCATTGCACACTTTATGACGTTTGCAGAAACATTTTTTTGAGATGCCACCTGATTAGAAAATCATTTCATTTGTGATAGAGCCTGGAAGACTTTTATGTCAATCACTCAGGAGCTGGAAGTAATAAATACACTTAAATGCCTCAAGTTCATGGCTATGAAATTATAGTTTGGAAATTTGACGGCAAAAATAGTAGGCTGCTTCTCAAGTAAAAAATCATCAGTGTATAGACTTCGCAGGAGGGGGATATTTTGGGTCAGTCCCAGGACCTTTTAATTAGTGGACACTTCATGCCGGTGACACTCAGCCAGCCGTTCACTCCCAGCCTGGTGGTTCTGGCCATCCCCGTGTGTTCTCAAGTTCTCAGACCTGGGATCACAAAAGAGATGTGTCTGAGTGTCCCCCGCCCTGAGCTGGCACTTACATCTTTATACTTCCCACCAATGGGAAGCGGAGGGTCGGGGACAGAGCCCTTTCCCATCCCGCAGTGCAGCCATCGGCCTTTGAAACGCTGTTAACACATTCTCACATAAATTAATGGTGCAGGAAGCGGGTGGCTCTCTCCATTCATCAGTAGCTGGGTGTCCGCTGAATGGCGGGGAAGCCTGCGCCTGGAGAGGGCCGCAGCGCACCTACTGTAAGGCCCAGGTGCGGTTTGCAGAATCTATTCTCCATCGCCGTGAAAAGACAGCCATCCACCCAAAGCCCCGTGTCCTGGGCGCTCATTTTGCAGTGGGAAAGCCCGCGACAACAAACTCTGCAGTTCTGAGAAACCTACAAGCACGCTTGGAATTTTTTTTTTTTTCCAAAAAAAAAAAAAAAAAATCAATTCTGGCATCATATTTAGACTTCAAGTGACCTCAGACGGACCGGGAACGCTTTCACACCGGCGAGGCCCCTGAATGAGAAAATAATCTCTTTACAGTTCCCCCCCCCCCCTTCCCCCTTCAAGTGGCTGGAACCCCTTTTGTTCCAGGGCCTCCCTTGAATGGTGTTGCTAATAAGCCTATTAATGGGCTTCCACGGCCGAGTGTGAATAGGTAAATAAGCCCCAATCTGTTGAGGTTCTGGGGCGAGGGCAGAAAAGCCAGCGAGAACTAAAGGGGACAGTTTGAGCTGAGCCACCGAGGCCAGCACAGGTTTCGGCTGAAAGAAGCGCCAGACAAGGGCGCAATTCACCGTCCTCCGCCCCCCGCCGGGGCCCCTTTCTTCCCAATTTTCCCCCCTTTACAAAATGTCTTGAGTAGTCATCCCCCCTTTTCTTCCCCGAAAAGCCCTCGGGACGCCCTTCTTTCTTCCTCTCTAGTAATGATACGTCAATGGAAGGACACCAGAGCCCTGTCCCCAAACGTCTCCAAGAAACAAATTGCGCTGCTGGCCCGTCGGGGGTGGGAAGCGAGAGGCGAGGCGGGTGGGACCCTCGCTGCCACGGGCCCTCTCTCCTCTCTCCTTCTTTCCTCCTCCTCCTCCTCCTTCCTCCTCCTCCTCCTCCTCCTCCTCCTCCTCCTCCTCCTCCTCCTTCTTCTTCTTCTTCTCTCTCTCTCTCTCTCTCTCTCTCTCTCTCGGAAATTTTCCTTTCAATAATTCACTTTTTAATGGTGGCTGCTGAAAAGCTACATGAATAAGGTCTGTGACATTTAAGGGCTCCTAAGCCCTGCCCATGGGGGCACGAACTGAACTGCCTGCAACACCGTGAATCTCATTCCTTAATCGACATCTCAATAACATCCACCGCATGAAAGAAGGACCCAAGAGCAGGGATCCAGCCTGTCCAGGGCTGTGGTAAGGCCACTTACTCCCGGGTTAGTCCGGGGCCAGGGAGGGGCAGGATCCCTGGCAGCTCCCGCCCTACTTTAATAGCTGGCATTTAACTGAAGCAAAATCACCCATCGATTCCACTGCAGAACATCCTCAAAGCTTCTAAACTTAGAACTGGGCCCTGAATCTCTAAGCCAAGGACTTCCCGGGGGACAGTCCTTCCTGAAGCATACTTCACCAGCAAAGCCATCAGCCCTGCTTCCTAAGAAGCTCGGGCAGCACACTTCAATAACTGGGTGACTGGGGGCCAGTTGCTTGAGTCCTCTGAGTCTTCCATTTTCTTAGCAGCAAAATGTAGAAAAGAAAGGTTCCCACATGTTAGCGGCTGAGTGGGCTCACTAAAAGGACGGATGAGTTAGGACAGGACCAACTCAAAACATTTTGGTTCAGATGCTGGTCAGTGTTTTGAGAAATCCACCCTTGGGTGAGAATCTGTGTTTCCTCCTGGGACTACTGGGAGGATTAAGAGCTGCAAACTACCAACCCTTCAACATTATTAATAGCCTGAGGCCACTGTACCCACATCTCCTCCCACTCTCCTGGTCCTGCAAAACCTGGCCTGGCCACCTGAAGTGAGACTTGTCCTGGGAAGGCAGCCTCAGCTCCTGTCCTGAACATGGTCCTGAGCTAGGCCTTGCAGCAGTTATGGGGACCCCTTGTCCCCCACAGGGGAACCTGCAGGGGCCCAGGGAGGCAGAAAGTACTTTTCACAAGGGAGGACACATCTGGACCCAAAGAAAGAGCTTCTTTAAGACTTTGCAGGGAATCTGAAACAAAACGGCCCACTGTGCTCTGCCCAGTTACTGTGTTTCTTCTGGTTTGAGAGACATGACAGTGACTCCTCAGGAGACCCAACACTGTGAGGGAGTGCACAGGAGGACATCCTCAATCACCCAACCAGGTGATTCCACCCACCAGTGTCAGGGGATTGGCCACTCGCTCCCCATAGAACTGAGATATTTTCAGGAGAACTCATTACTTCCCCAAATATTTGTATTTCCAGGAAATAATCACCCACACCAGGGGGTCCACCTCCCTCCCTTCAAGTGCTCTAAGAAGCATTTAGGTTAGGGTTAGGGTTGTAAATGCCTCAAAGAATTTTCAAGTTCAGGTGCATTAGATGCTGCCACACCTCTATTCACATGCCTATAGTTTTGTCAGTTGAACCTGCATGGTCTTCAAAATGGGGAAAGAATTCAGGGCCAATTTGTGGCTCATAGGATAATACTTATTCATAATATTTTTTAAATATATGGAAGTGGGAAATGTTTATGAATTGCAATTACTAAGGCTTGTGTTGGAAAAGTTAACCCTTAAAAGTCTTACACACACATACACACATACACACACACATCTTCTGCACACTTGTCATTTACCAAAAATGACCAAGTCTGGGGCTGGGGCTGTGGCTGTGGCTCAGTGGTAGAGTGCCTGCCTAGCACTTAGAGTCCCTGAGTTCAGTCCTCAGCACCACATAAAAATAAGCAAACAAAAGAATGACCAAGTCTGTCACTCAAAATGCAAGGGAGCAGCAATTTGGGAACCCTGATTGCATTCTGGGACCACTACAAAAGATAACTGGGAGCATCCTCGAGTGTCTGGATATCAGGATTGTTGTTCATTTGCTCAGGTAAGATTACAGCAGTTTGGTTTTGTTGGAAAATGCCTGTGTTCTCGGTAGATCCATGCCAGAGTCTAAGGATGAAACGTCTGGGTGTTTGTACCCAGTGGCTCAGGAGAAAGGGCACAAACACAAAGATGAGCAGAGGTGTCACTCATAACATGTCCCAGCCTCAGCATACAGTGCTTGCTGACTTTTTGGACTGAATAATTTCATAATAAAAAGCTGGAGGAAATACCTAGGGAGGATATTTGGGACTCTGGCCTCAAAGCTGTCCTCTTGTG